GTGGGAGGGGGGGCGTCAACTCAATGCAGGGGTGCAAGAGGGCGGCACGTCAGGTCGGTGGCTGCGCGCCGAGCAGTCGTCGGGCTCAGCCTCTCGGGCGCCGCAGTTCGGTTGGCAAAACAGAATGCAGGTGGCGGGGATCGAATGCGCACCGCGCGGAGGTACTCGTAGGCGACGACGGCGGAGGACACGCCCGCCATGTACAGCAGGGGGCGGGACAGGCCCAGCACGACGCGGGAGCTGCAGGGATGTGCCAAGGCGCGGCGCAGCGCATGGGTGGGTGTTTCATTTGAGGGGCGTGCGGCAGGGGCGTGGCTGGGTGGCTGGTGGGAATGCGGACGAGTTGGCGGCGGGGCGGGTCTGCATTTGGGGTGCAAAGCAAGGCATGCCGCGGCTTGCAGTGGGGGCAGGCGTGGAGGCCGAGGGAGCGGGGGTCCTCACGAAAGCATGCCGATGAGGTGGCGGTTGTAGCGAGTGACGCTGCGGTGGCCCTCCCAGTTGTCAAAGTTGAAGACCTGCGGGGTGACAGGTGCGAAGGTCAAATCAGGTGTGCGCGCGCCGCCGTGCCGGCAACAGGCTGGCTACGACAATGCAGGGGCTCGTGCGAGGATTCGCGCCGCCGCGCGGGCGCTCGCGCCGCCCGCATGGGATGCAGACAGGGGCCTGGAGGCTCACCGTGCGGCGGTACTTGCGGCTCTCCTCCTTGGCAATGTCGTCCCAGGTGGCAGAAGGCTGCGGCCGGCCAAGGTCCTGGTACTGCACGCGCCCCATTGCCACAGGGGTGATCGCCGCCGCGCGCGGCGCGCGCCGGGGCGCGGCTGCGACGGCGGGCCGGGAGCAGACGCGAGCCCCGGCGAAATTGGGGCGCGCCGCCGCCGTGCCCCTGTTCGCGAAAACCATCTGCCGCTGCATTGTGCTTCTGCTCAGCGGGGGGTGGTGCACTGGCCTGGCGGAGAGGGGCTCGTGAGCTTCAAAGCCTCTTATCGGAGGGACTGGCCGCCGCGTTGGACGATTTAAGACCCTGAGTTGAAGAAATCGTTCAACAACAAAGGGATTGTGGGTTCGAATTAGGGGAAGGTCCACTAACCCGCCTGAAGAATGCCCCAAACACCTGCGGCTTGCACCAACAGACCATCACCTCAAACACACTCTCCCTCACCTGAACGGCCTCAAAATAATCCTTGTTTAGCGTTTTTATTAACCTTGGTTTGCTGTTTGACGGCACTTGATGCTGATCGAGGATGTCGGAGAGATCTGCTTCACAGGCGCGGTGCGCGAAGAAGCGCCGTATCTCCCGAGTATCCGCAATAAATGCCCTTAAGAACAATTATTGCTTGCACTTGTGCCCGCTGAAGACGGCACGAGGGCCTGGCAGGGCATGGTCAAACCTGCCACCTCATCGCCGATGAAGATTGCGCGAGCAAGCGCTTGCCAGAGCAACCCTGTTGAATGGACCGAACACTCATGTTTAGCGTTTCTGGATGTTATTGCACCACTATCAGCAACCCCTGCGACTGCAGTGCTGCCCACCTCCCGCATACCGTCCCCCTCCCCCCCCTACTCGCGTACTGCCCGCTCCACTGCCTGACGCGGTACCGTAAGGATTACATTTGTTACCATGCAACTCAATCCTCAACCCAAACACGAGCTCTCTGTTTTCGCACAGCGCGCATAGCCGATTGTGTTGTTGCAAGGGGGTCATCAGTAACGCCATTCCCAGAAAGCCCGGCCGGCATCATGCGACACGCGTAATGCTCAACGCACCAAGGGCTGCAAGTGCTACCACACCGTCCTTGCCTGCAGCCGGTGCCATCAGCAACCTCAGCCCCGCCATGCCCTCATGCGATTGTGATTGAAGAAGACTCGCAAGGTGAGTCAGCCGCCACGTGGCACCATAGCAGGTGGCAGTCGTCACAACCGCCCGGCCGGTGCCCGTGCGGCAAGCCGCACCTTGTCCGCAGCCGAGCACAGTCACTCTTTCCAACCCACTCACTCAGCCATGTGCAGCAGTGTGATGCACATCGAATCAGGGCAGCGCGCGCAGGGACTGCCTGGATCGCGAGCCGCGGCACGGCCAAAAAGGGGGGCGCGCCGCCAAACACTTGAAATTTCGCGAGGATATGAAATGCCGCCGCCGGGGGTGCACGGGGCATAAGGGGCCCTCCTTTGGGCGAAGCCGTTGTTTTGTACACGCTCCCATGAAGGCAAAGTCGTCGTGGACATCGCCTGTCCCGTATGGGGTGGGTGAGAGCAACTTGCAGGGCAGGCGGATGAAACAGCTCGGATTAAACCGAGGTGGGCACGGGGCCCTATGCAGGCAGGCCTCATGCCATGCTGCGGAAAACTCATTGAAAGGCGCAGGTGCCGCTGCCGCAGAGCAAAGTGGGCCGGCGGTCCCAGTGGTTTCGTGGGCGAAGTTGCCCAGCCAAACGGGCTCAATTGTGCTTGCGCTCGTGCCACGCACGCTGCGCGCCGAGCACGCATGACAAGTTTGTGAGTGTGTGTGCGCGCATGCGGTGCAGTGCATTGCGGTTTGGCGGAACAGCCGCCGCGCCGCGTGCCCATCCGAACCAACGGTGTTCGGTCGGGCTCGGCAGGCGCGGTTGTGGGAATTACGGGACCGTGTCACCGGATCTTGTTCCCGCGTATGCGGTGTGGTGTCAAGGTGGGGCTCGCGCGTGTGGTGTGACGGCAAGCCTCGGCTGCGTGTGAGCGCAAGGCATCCGGGCCGCAGAACGAAGGGGGGGGGCACTCTTGAGACGGCGCGGGATCTGGATGCATCAAGGCTTGAAGGTCACCATTTGCTCTCGCTCTCAGATTATGGCGGACGGCAGCTAGGGCTGCTCGGATGGGCCGCAGCGGCCCCGGTGCCTGCAACCAATCCCGATCCCTCTCTCAAACAGCGCCGCTGGCGCGGACGAAATGAGGAAATGTCGCTGGGTGCTCAGGCGGCCGCTTAGCGGCGGTTGCCGAAACCGAAGCGGTCGTTGTCGTTGGTGTCTGCCTGAGACATGGCCGTGGCCTCTCC